GCCCAATCTCATTGAATAGTACTCATTGAGACGTATTCTCTGATACCAAATGTAGCGCACTTAGTTTTTACCCTTTATCCTATGGTGATTTACTATAGGATAAAACCACGAAGCAAAACCTATATGCCATCTGTCCATAGGATAGTGGTGTGGAACCTGAAGTTCAAGGCTTTGAGCCATTGAACGAAGGAACGGTGCCAAACTCCCAAGCATGGAGCCAAAGAATGACGGAACCAAACCATGGAGCAACTCCCGAGCATACAGCTTAAGGAGCAAAGGAATAGAAGCTCCAAGCAACTTGGATCAATCTTAGAGCAACCAACATCCCAATGCCAGGATTAACATGCAAAACGAAGCTAAACGAAGTCTGGCGCTATTTCAGCATATCAATGGCCTAACGTAAGGATATAGGTACTCCACCAGTTAGCATGGAATGGAACTCAGGCTTAGACCCAAGCCGGATGCAAAACAAGGACAGGCACACAAGCGGAAGCTAGACTATGCCTCAAGTTGGTCGGCCATGCCCGATCAACCCACTATCCCTATTATACATTTGGAACCCCCCACAACCCCCCTCCCGTGAGGAACACATGTTTTGCAAGCCTCCCTTAGTGTCAAGAGTTAGTTTTTGGGACAAGTTTGAAACTTACTAAATATGGAATGTCTTTAGATTGTGAATTTGGACACAGAACGAACACTATTGTGTTCAAGACAATCTTTACATTCTGTAAATGTATCAAATGAGCAAATCTAAACACTTTCCATAAATAACATTTGGGACCGAAATGAAACTAACACAAAGGGCATGATAGTGAAGGTGTTTGGTAGACACGGTAAGCTATCATTTAGTGAATATTGAGGGACTAATCTTAATATCGCAAGAGTTCTTGATACTAACAAGTGGAAGCCAATAACACAAGTTTCTCAAACCAAGCTGAGTATGCTCTACAAAAAACACATAGGGTTCCTAATTTTATGTTTATCCAATTTAAGTGCATGTTTATTGACCAGTTTCTCAACTAGCTCAAGTGGGAATTGATAACGGGTCCAGCAATACCCACCTTCTACCGTCGTGATAGTAAGGAAAGAATATCCGAAAAGACTAACCAACAGATAACTTTCAATACCCGAAGTCATATTCGCGACATTTACTTATCTTTATAATATTTTAGTAGATTACAAAAGCTATAGAAAGTTTTATGAAGTGGATTTGTTAGTGCTTTCTGCTATGCTATCCATTTTTTCTTTTTTTTTACTCTAGACTGTTGTTTCAAAAGTAATAGAAGTATTTCTATCAATAGTGATAATAATTTTTATATTCCCAAATGAATAATAAAAACTAAAAGTGTAATATAGAGATTGTGGTAGTGAAACAAAATTAACATTCTCACATTTTTGTATACTAGAATTACTCCTAGAGCTTTTGTCTTATTTGATTCCTATCTTTGTAAAACCCTAAATAATGAATGAGTGAATTAGTGTTTCGAATTATTTATATATTTATAGTCAATTTTTGAAATGTTAAATTATCAAAATATACTATAGAAATTTCAGGTTCTCAATATTCCCATTTTTATTTGGAACCAAAAAAACCCAAAAAATTCTATGGGTTTGGATAAACTTCTAATTCTAGAAACTACTCAATCAATATTTTATTGTATAGATCGCATTAAAAAGTTTTCTCCATGATAGATTCAAAAAATAAAAATTTCTCTAAACCATTGACAATTAAAAAAATGAATTTCAAGTTCACCAAAGAATAACATCTTTCTTATATAACATTTCTTTATAAGACTTATGGTTAACTATATTAACTAACATTGACTTAAGCTGAATTAAGCTCAAACTCCTAAACTCAACTCAAATTTAGACCATCTCCCTGATGCACAAGCTCTTTGCAATAGTGCATAGACTTTGCAGGTCTGACAATGCCACCCATTCAGTCTCTAGTTTTTTTCTAGCACAAGATGAACATGGTTCCATCTAGTATCCTATAGACGCCTTTGCCAATGTGGCCTTCATGTCCAGGTGACTGATGCCATGCAAATGTAGGTGCTTCATAGCACTGCCATGCTACAATTGCTCAGTTAGCATCTTCCCCATGAATGTCAATGCAAGGCTCTGGAGGAGTTCTGCCACTCTACCACAGCTATTTACATCCTCCAGTTATAAGCAGTTTATGAATGAATGAATGATTCGTCTCACACAGCTCCATTTGGATGAACATCAAGACGCTCTCAATGCTAACTAATCTCAAAGCTTTCCTCCTGCAGTGAGAAAATTTTGCACACCATAGCCTCTTGATATCATAGATACATACTAGTGCCAATTGGAATGCTTTACAGCATAAAAACAGCCGTAAAGTCTTTTGAAAATTTAGCTAAAATCTCCAAAACAAAATGGAAAGAGAAGTTTTTTTCTGTCTGGAAGAACACACTCTTGGACCATCTCCAAGTAGCGAAAAACACTTCCTACAAAATGCTCATGCCTGGCACTTGCTGCTACATGTGGTGGTGCCAAGGGCCTGACTAAATGCGTCTTGGGCTTCCAATTTCCACCCTTGTGTGTCTACTTGGGATTTGCCAGACATGGTAACCTCGTTTCCAACTTGAAAACGTTCATTCCAAATCTTATAGCAATTCCAGTCAGTCCAAATCCATCGTCGTGAGCACCATTCCGAAAATAAGAATTTCTTTGAGTTTTGTGCTTGTCAAATCCAGCCGCGTGCTTGGTTTTTTGCATTTCAAACACGTAGCGAGCGAACCCATTAAACCCGGAGTTAATTTAAGCAAAGCGTTTACTTGGCTCCCAAGGCGCGAGTACGGTTAAATAGCGGCCAGGGGTCCTCGTTTAGGGATCCTTTTCTTCCATGGCGTTGATCAACGAGGAAGTACTCACGATCTGCGGCCCGCCGGAGCTCGCCCTCCAAGGTATGGCGATCGATCCTCTCCCACTCAAGGGCCTCACCGAGAATCTCGCCGACACTTACCTCGCATCCGGCTCGGCCTGCCTCGATTTCTTCTTCCACATCGTCCCCGACACCACCGATTCCTCGCGCGTCAAGGAGCTGGCCACCATGGCCTGGAAAGAAGATCCCTTGACGACTCTCAAGCTCATCTTCCAGCTCCGGGGGATCCGTGGCAGCGGCAAATCGGACAAGCTCCACTTCTATGACGCTGCATGCTGGCTCTACGATCACCACCCCCGGACGCTGGCCGCCAACATCGCCAAGGTCGCCCCGGTCGGCTACTTCAAGGATCTCCTGGAGCTCGTCCAGCGGATCCTGGAAGGCGAGGTGGTGACGGCGCAGAGGATGCGCGAGAAGGAGGAGTGGAAGAACAAGAGACGTGATCGGCGGTGGCGCTCGAGGATCCGCCGGAGCGGCCGGGACAGATGCGCAAGGATCACGGACAGAGCAAGGATCGCTACGCAAGGCGACCGGGAGGAGCGAGTAGCGGCGAGCATCGCCAAGGACAAGGCCGAGAAGCAACAGGCTTCCGAGCTGCGCAAGGAGAGATCGCTGGCGCTGGCTCGCCGCGCGATCGACAGGCTCGCCAAGGATCCCGAGTTTGCAGCGGTGTACGCCGGCGTTGCTCGCGTCTTCGCCGACGCGCTCGCCAAGGATCTGGAGGCGTACAAGCAGCACAAGAACAATGCGAGGATCAGTCTCGCGGCGAAGTGGTGTCCATCTCTCGACTCCGCCTATGACAAGCAGACACTGCTGTGCGAGGCGATCGCGTGCAAGCTCTTCCCGAAGAACAGCACCTCCGAGTTCGCGGAGCTGGACCAGAGGCAGTACGCGTACCGAGCTCGCGACAAGCTGCGCAAGGAGGTTCTGGTTCCACTGCGCAAGGCGCTGGAGCTCCCGGAGGTGTACATGAGCGCGCAGAGGTGGGACGAGCTGCCATACAACCGGGTGGCGTCGGTGGCGATGAAGACGTACTCGAAGATCTTCACCAAGCACGACGAGGAGCGGTTCAAGCAGTACCTCGAGGACGTCAAGTCCGGCAAGGAAAAGATCGCGGCCGGGGCGGTTCTCCCGCACGAGATCCTCCGCGCTGCTGTCACCAAGGATGGCGCGGAGAGAGACGCGGCGGAGCTGCAGTGGAGGGCGATGGTGGACGAGCTGCGGCGGAAGGGGACCCTGGAGAACTCGGTGTCCGTCTGCGACGTGTCCGGGAGTATGACCGGGACGCCGATGGAGGTTTGCATCGCGCTGGGGATGATCACGGCGGAGCTGAGCGACGAGCCGTGGAAGGGTCGGCTGATAACTTTCAGCGACGAGCCGGCCTTCCACGAGATCCGGGGCGAGACGCTGGCGGAGAAGTACGAGTTCACGACGAGGATGCCGTGGGACATGAACACCGACTTCCAGAAGGTGTTTGATCGGATCCTGGAGCGAGCCCGCGAGTTTAACGTCCCGCCGGAGAAGATGGTGAAGAGGCTCTTCGTCTACAGCGACATGGAGTTTGACGAGGCCAGGGGGAAACACTACGGCGGCGTGTACAATCCTCGGCCGGATTGGTGGGGTGGCGAACAGGCGCCAGGTTGGGAGACGGATCATATGGCGATCAAGCGCAAGTTCAAGGAGGCCGGGTACGAGGAGCCGCCGCAGATTGTCTTCTGGAACTTGAGGGACTCGGAGAGCGTCCCGGTGCTCAAGGACGAGCCTGGCGTGGCGCTCGTCTCGGGCTTCTCCAAGAACATACTCAAGATGTTCCTGGAGAACAGCGGGGCTATCGATCCCATGCTCATCCTCCGGAGTGCCATCTCGGACAGGATCTACGAGGACATGGTGGTGGTGGATTGAGAGCAGAAACGATTATGACGAAGTTTGAAAAGTTTGGCTTTGTTTGGTTTTCTTTCTCTCAAAGTTTTTGACTTTGATCCCAAAGCTTTCATAGAAACATCTTGGAGTGCCAAAAAAGTTTGTAGAATGTGCAGAGGATTTAACGATTCAAATGTAATATAATCGAACAAAAATGGTATTTTGCAAAATTTCACCAGTATCTGGGAGTTTGTTTATGTTGTTTAACACTCGAAACAAACATCTTGTTTGCATCCTCTATACTGATTTGGCTCGATGCCACCTTGAGTAGCAGCGGAGTCAAGGCCTCGAGGATGGAGTCATTGGGATCGCCATGGAAGGGCGGGACTTGGATCCCACTCTTGGGATGGTAGAGATACAAGCTCGCGTTGTCATCGATCCACACCATGAGACTATCTTGCTCCCTTTTCAGTTTCCTCAAATCCTTCACCACTTGGCCGCTCACCCAATCTTTATCGCTCCCGGTGGAGATGGCGGACACTAATTCTCCGCTGGGATCCAAGCTGCTTACAATCTTCGTCACATACGATGCGCCCGAGGCACTGAAGACCACGACCTCGTAAACCTGTGACATATCTCTCAGGAACTTGTCCAAACCCGGTCGCTTCGTCACGCACTGGAGGAGATTGTCATCGTCGTGGTCAGACACGCAGACTAGCGTGTTATCAAGATCCAATACTAATGTTCTCGCCATAATAGGATTAGGTCTTTTCTATGATGGTGACCAGTCCTTTTCTTAAGGTCTTAGTTCTCTCTCATGTTAAATATTCCTTCAAAATATCCTTTTCTAACACGTAATACTCATGTTGGAATGCTTGCTTAGAGAAATTATTATTCTTCTTCGCCTTCGCCACCTTCCTCGCCTTCTCCAGCCTCGGGCTCTGGCGGCTTTGGTATGGGCGGGAGCTCCAAGCTCTCCGGCGTGAGCCCCTCAAACTCTTTCAACACTGGAGGCGGTAGCGGTGCCACGAAAGGCGTGTGTTTCATCCCCCAGCCGATGTAGACGCTGCTAAACCCGGCTGGAGTGACCACGGTACAGGCACCCGGCCAGATTGCCGACCTCAAACCGAGAACTTGGTGTTTGAGGCTCTTGTGCGTCGAGCTGGTGATGAGAGACCACGGCTTCCAGCCTTGCTGCGGGAGATCTTTGTCTGTGTCGATGGAGGTGAGAGCTCCCGGGATCTCTTCCAGCTCCTCGGGGCTCGGTGGCTGCTCTTCCTTCTCCTCGCCTTCTTCTTCCTCGGCCTCCTCCCCCTCTTCCTTTTCCGGGACGAAGAGTGTTGTCCGGCCTTGTAAGTTGAGGTACTTGTTCTTGTGTACCCAGTTTTCTAGCGACTGGAGCTCGGCCGTGGCAAGAGGTTGATACTCCTCGTCGGGCTCCAGTGGCCCTCCTTCGCCACCTTCTTCACCTTCTTCTGGAGCCTGATGGAGAAACGAGAAAAAGAATAGAGCATTAGAATGCAAGCCATGCTTTTGAAGCTCACCTTGTAAAAACCTTTGGGAGCAATCTCGCAAGTGGCTGATATCCGTGCAATCTGTGCGCGCAAATAATTCTCTTCGACTCCAGGAAACGGTGGATATGCCGAAACTTCAGCCTGGTCAGATTACTTGAGAAGAGAGTTTATAGAGGTGAGAAGGAAAAGCAAAAAAAAAGAGTGCACCTTCAAGTTTCCGGTGAAAAACTTCTTTATCTGCCTCGCGGTTTTGATCTGGAGTGGTGTCACGTCTGGAAGCCTGTAGAGTTCGTCGCCTGGCCGGCTGCAAACCCAGTACGTATTTGCGTTTGGTCCAATGCCTGCTTCCACTGGAATGGTTTCCACTGGCCTTCCCCACGGCCCCTTCTTAGCACCCTCTTCTCCTTCCTCGCCACCACCTTCTGGCTCTGCCGCTGGTTCGCTCGTCGTCTCAAACACGAAATAATTGCTAGACACAAAATAGTTCAATCCGGAAAAGATTGCTCGTAAGCTTTACCTGTTGATGCCGAAGAACTTGCCAAAGAACTTCATTTTCGAGACGATCTTGGTGCCTCCCAGCTGCCGCATCGTCAAAACAATTTGGTAGTTTTCCGCTCGGCCCAGCCCGGATCCGATCGCCTCGAAAAACGCACTGTCCGAGAGGAAGTTGTCCACTGCGTATTCGGGGCCTTCTCCTTCTTCCTCCTCCGGCTTCTCTTCTGGAGGAGGCTCCTCGGACTCGGGATCGACAGCCGCTGGGGGAGGCTTCTTTTCGGGAATGCTATGAAAGAAAAACAAGAGCAAAAGAACAAACTTTAGACCTTGCAAACAAGCACTGGAACAAAGGAAGAAACGATGAGCTCACCAATGGAAAAGTTCTTTGCAAGTTATTTTCCCCGTAGACTAGCAGTGGAAATACCTCTGGAGGCCGATAAACTGCTTGACAAACTTCTCGTCTTTGTCATCCTTCCACGAGCGAGGGACTTTGGGGCCTTCCTCGGGGACGAATCGAGTCTGCTTGAGCAGCAAGCTCGTCTCTAAAATGTCCACGGCATTCTCTGGCTGCGTCACAACGATCTACAAAACAGAGAAAAAGAATTGGGGCAAAATCGATCCGCCCGAGCTTTACTTACCAGTTGGATCAGTTGTGCGAGATGCGAAAACACAGAATCTCCATTCGTGGCGGATTTCCTCTGCAAATACGCGAGGCATTGCTCCGTCGTCATCTTCTTCCCCATCTCGCCACACCCAAACAAGAAAAAAATGAAGAACCCTAAATTCGAACAGTTTAAAATGAGAATATTCTTATAGCCGACAGAATATGCTGTTTTAAGATTCTCTTTTTTTTTTTCCGAGCCAGGGTTTCGACCTTGCGACCACTTTTTTAGGGCTCGTCGATTGGCAGAGGTTTTTGATGTCTCGGCAGCTGGCCGCGCTCCTCGCAAGAAAACGAATCCTCTCGGTAAGTCTCGCGCGGCGCAGCCATTCTCGATCTCATTTCCCTCTCCTCCGGCCAGGCATTCAGGGAGAATCGCGGCATTCTGGTGGATAATCCGTGTCTCGGCAGCATTCTAGAGCACCGGCTGGGTTTTGATCCTATCCCGACGCAGTGGTCTTTCGGAAGCTGGATTGGCAGCGGCGGCGCGTGCGGATTACGGCGCGGCCGTGATTTGAGAGGAGCGCACAAACAACAGCGATACCAAGGTAGCAATCTCGGCACTCGGCAATTCTATTCGAGTAAAGCATCGGAAAGAGGTTGGAATTGAGAAAGATGAAATTAATTGTTAGCAATAGCGTTAATACTTTGTTTTTCCAGGCTTCAGTAACTTCTATCCAAAGAACAAGGTTCCAAAAGATGGTCCCGAGGAGAAGTCAAACCAAGGTATCAAACGTCTACTCTGGAGAACTTACGTTTTGCCTTTCTTCCAGGAAAATCGAAACCCCGAGCACGGGATCTCGGAGATCTCAGAACAAGAATTGTATCCTTGGTTGCTGTCGGCTTATCAGTGGCGGCGTTGTGGAACCTCTATACCGTTTCTAGAAGTGAAGATGTCTCGGAGGTTCTTTTCTCCTTCTCCATTTTCTTCTCTTCGTTTCTCACAGCATACACTTTTTCTTTCCAGATTACTTACCATCAATTCCGATCTGAGCTCTTGGAGCAGTGTCTCGTAGACCATGTTGTCGTGGTTAACAGGAGCTTGGTCCGCGTTTTTGTTCGGGACCCAGCTTCTAGTGACGACACTCAGAGTCATTGCCGACACTTTTTTCGAATCGGCAGTGCTGATGGTTTCGAGCAGCAACTGGAGAGGGCGCAAGCCAGCCTCGGGTGGGACTCGCACGATTACGTCCCAGTCATGTATCAAACCGAGTTGAATTGGCGGCGAGAGCTTACGAACATGGCACCGATTCTCTTCCTCTTTGCGTGGGTTGGATTTTCCGTCTGGAAATGGAAGAGAGCTGGCACTGGGCAGGGGACGGATAGCAATGGTGGTCGCAGCATTTTTACCATGGGAAAGGCTCAGGTGGCAAGGATGGATCCAGGCGTCAAAGATAAGGCATGGTAGTATATTGTTTTACTCTTGGAGAGCTTACTGACTTTGCATTTTAACTATGCAGGTCATGTTCGCGGACGTAGCCGGATGCGACGAAGCCAAAGCAGAAGTGATGGAGTTCGTTCACTTTTTGAAGAGTCCCAAAAAGTACCTCGACCTCGGTGCGAGAATCCCCAAAGGTGCTCTCTTGGTCGGACCTCCTGGCACCGGCAAAACGCTGCTAGCAAAGGCTACTGCAGGTGAAGCCGGTGTGCCATTTCTTTCGATCTCCGGTTCTGACTTTACAGAGATGTTCGTCGGGGTTGGACCTTCTCGAGTCAGAGACCTCTTTGCTCAAGCTCGTCGGGAAGCCCCGAGCATCATCTTTATTGACGAGATCGATGCCATCGGCCGCGCAAGAGGTGCTGGTCTTGGGTCAAACGATGAACGTGAAAACACCCTCAACCAGCTCCTGGTTGAAATGGACGGCTTTGCAACTACAGAAGGAGTAGTCATACTCGCTGGGACAAACAGGCCAGATATTCTCGACAAGGCGTTGCTCAGGCCTGGACGCTTTGATCGTCAGATTGCTTTAGACAGGCCGGATGTGCGAGGACGAGAACAGATACTTCGGGTGCATCTCAAGAAACTGAAGCTGGACAAGGAGCCTCAGTTTTACTCACAACGAGTTGCTGGTCTCACACACGGCTTTGCTGGGGCGGAGATTGCCAGCGTGTGCAATGAAGCTGCTCTCATAGCTGCAAGGCGTGAGAAGTCAGAGATTTCCATGAAGGAGCTCGAAGCAGGAGTCGACAGAGTTATTGCCGGCATCGAGCGAAAGAACAGGGTACGTACTACGGGTTTTCTTGTCAAAGTTTTCTCGCGAGATAACACAGTTTCAACACAGGTAGTTAGCAAGGACGAACGGAGGACTGTTGCTTACCACGAAGCTGGTCATGCCGTCGCCGGGTGGTTCTTAGAGCACGCGGAGCCGCTACTCAAAGTTACAATAGTTCCACGAGGGAGTGCGGCGCTGGGCTTTGCGCAATACGTTCCCAACGAGGACTTACTCATGACCAAGCAGCAATTCAATGACATAATCTGTATGGCTCTTGGAGGGCGAGCAGCGGAGGAGGTAAGAACAAACTTGGAGGAAAAAGGTCCTGATGTTTCTCTCTCCAGGTTCTGCTGGGAAGGATCACCACGGGTGCGCAGAACGATCTGGAGAAAGTCACGCTGATGGCCTACGCGCAGGTGGCCGAGTATGGATTCAGCGACAAAGTTGGGCTTGTCTCCTTTCCCCGCAAGTCACAGACGGAGCTGCTCAAGCCTTTTAGCAACAATACGAGCAAACTCATGGACGAGGAGGCGAGGGCGATAGTGAATGATGCCTACGCTCGCACCCGAGCACTGATTGACAAGCACAGGGACGGGGTTGCCAAGATCGCGGAGCTGCTGCTTGAGAAAGAGGTCCTGCGGCAGGAGGACCTCTTAGCAGTGCTTGGCGAGCGTCCATTCGCGCAGGGAAGCCGCAATAACTATGACATATACAGGCACGGATTTAAACAAGAAGAAGCAAATGATCCAATGGTCGCATCCTAAGCTTTTCATACCGATACATTTGTATATTAAAATCATACTATGCAAATCCTAAGAGCTCAAAGTCAACAAGAGTCAATAAAGGTCAGTAAAAAATAAGACTGTACCTTTATTGACTAGCAATAACTTAGGTCTATACATTGAGTATTTCTACTTTAACTTAATTGGCAGTCCTTTAGTCGGCATTGCAACTGGGGTATAGGAAACTGGTTCATCGGGTTCCACTAGGGTCCACTCATATCTTGTGACTAAGTGGTGAAGAAACACCATCACCTGCATTTTCGCAAGTTGGATGCCCGGGCAAATCCGGGGTCCTCCACCGAATGGAATATATGTGTATGGAACCGGTCCCGTGCCTTCTGCAAATCGGGATGGCTCAAACTTGAAAGGCTCGGCAAAAAACTCTGGTTTTCTGTAGCTCCGGTAGCCCGATATTAAGAGCTGCAGCAAAGAGATTACATTCTTTCCTATAGGTAAACAAAAGAGATGGTAATTACCTGCCAGCCTTTTGGGATGGTGAAACCATCCATCTCGATATCTTTGAGGGCTTTGCGAAGGATGCCAAACCCGGTCGGCATCACTCGCAGTGTCTCCTGGATGACCATCCATGTGTATTTCATCTTGCGGAGGTCGTTCTGGTTGAGTTCCTCCCCAGGCTGCTTGGCTGATAGTATATCCAAGTGTTCTGGCATAGATGATCATGGTAAGTTTCGATCAAAAATCTTCGACAAGTTTGCTTACCTCTGCGAAGTTCCTGGTAGCAGGCTGGATTTTGAGCCAGGCACTTGAGGGTCATGGCTAGCGAGCTGGAACTGGTGTCATGGCCGGCGAAGAGCAGCGATAGGATGTTGTCTTTGATCTGGTCGTCGTTCATGAGCTTGCCATTGTCGAGCTTGGTGCTGAGAAGCAGTGACAGGAGATCTTGCTGGGAAGACGACCCATTCTCGAGCTCGATCCTTCTCCGCGCGATATACTTGTCAAACATCTTGTAGAGCTCCACCCGGCCCTTCTTGGCGTGGTGGAAGTTCGTCCAGGGGAGATCGAGCGGCAAGGAGATGAGCCCCTTGATGATCTTGGCCAGCGGCTCGAGCAGCTCCAGCTGTTCTTCTTCATCACTCACGCTGAGGAATGCACAACAGGTGACCGAGAAGAGAGCCTGTTTGATGAGAGAATAAGCCAGCACGGTCTCCCCATGCTTCCAGTGCTTGTGGAGGTGATCTTGAATCATATTGCTCGTAGGCACAACTTGGCTCTGGACGGCTTGAGCACTCAGAAAGGTCATGAGCACGTCACGGAAGCTCTTGGCCTCCTCTCCAGACATGAAGTTTATGGCGTTTGATCCAACCAGCGTCTTCATCGGGCTAGGCCACGCAGTCTCCACCAAGAGGTTGTGGTTTGAGAAGACAAGCTTGTTGCCTTGGGGAGGACTGACCATCACCATTGGGGAGCCAAACAATGAGGTCTTGAAGATCTTACCGTACTTGGCTTCCCGCTGTTCGATAAACTCCCAGGGCCGGTTGCTCTTGGTGTATCGTATGAACTGGAGGGTCTCGCCAAGTAGCGGAAGGCCCAGGCTCCCAGGAGGCAGATCCATCGCTTTGAATCTTCTCCATCGCTGGAGATACGCGAGTGCTGCTGCCCCAATGCAAAGAAGGTAAAGTACCAGCACAGGCACCATAACTGCGCCTAGAGCTATCTCTCTAAGTATGCTCAACTTCTTAAGCTCTTGCCCACTGTCTATAGCTAACCATGTGGGAAACTGACTAAGAACGCATTTCTTAAGCTCCGGCCCAGACAACTCCTTTCACGAACAGAGTGTAGATCCCAATAGAACATTGTTGACTTGGTTTTCGTGTTTGAGTTTCTTACCTAGCCATGACAAAATGCCATCGAATATTGTAATTTGACTCCCAGTTTCAACTAACAATCGAGTCTTGAAGGAAATAGAAGACCTTCACAAGCATGTTCTACGTGAAACATAGTAAAACTTGGCCAAGAAACTTCTAGGAAATTGACCAAGCAGCTTGTAAGTGAAACATGGCCAAGCACATGTGTCAAGAGCCTTTAAGTTAGTCAAACTTTGTCATAAGCCGAAGTTAGCAATGGAGTCGCCATCCACTTCACAAGCCAAATTTGCCACCGTCAGGAAATCTCTAGTCTAATACCTGTAGATTCCGAACATTATTGACTGATTTTAGCCTAGCCATGACAAAATGCCATGGAATATTGTAATTTGAATCAAACACAATTAGGAGTCTTGAAGGAATGAAAGTCTTTTAATTTCACAATGAGGAAGCAAGTTCTACCCCAAAGATGGAAAACTTGACCAAGCAATTTCTGCGTAAAACATGGGAAACTCTAGGAAATTGAACAAGAAGCTTCTACGTGAAACATGGAGAACTTGGGCAAGCAACGTGTAGCCAGACTTCATAAATTCTTAAAACAAGTTTTTAAAATAGTCAAAATTTGTCATGGTAGCGAGTCGCCATCCTCGGGAAAGCTCTAGTCTAATGACTGTGTAGATTCCGAACATTATTGACTTGGCTTTACTTATTTTTGGAACAAAATGCCATGGAACGACCCCTTTTGGGGGGATGCCGCCCGGCAGGGTCGATGCACAACCCAGCCGCCCGACGGAGTCCACCGGCGAATATTGTAATTTGACACAACAATCAAAGTCATGAACGAATAGAAGTCTTTACATTTGACAACAAGGAAGCAAGTTCTACGCAAAACATGGAGAACTTGGCCAAGCAACTTCTACGCAAAACATGGAGAACTTGGCCAAGCAACTTCTACGTAAAACATGCCAAGAAACTTCTACGTAAAATATGGAGAACTGCTTTAAGTTTTAGTAAACAGTCAAACTTTCTCATAAGCATGAGGTGGTAGCCGAGGAGCAACCACAGCTCGCAATGGAGTCGCCATCCAATTGACCAAGCCGAAAGCCTCGTCCATGGAAGCATCTTTGCCACCGCCGCCGTTGGGAAAGCTCCAGTCGAAGCCATGGACGAGATTTGACAAAGCCAACTCGACCGTTTTCAGTCCCAGCTGAAGCCCAGGACACGAACGTCGCCCCGAGCCGAATGGAAGGAGCTCGAAGTCCTGGCCTCGGACGTCCATGCCCTTCCCCGCCCCCTCCAGGAACCTATCGGGAGAGAACCGAGTGGGATCCTCCCACACCGTTGGGTCTCTCCCAATCGCGTAGACATTGACGAGCGTGGTAGCCCCCTTTGGAACGTCGTAGCCGGCCACCTTGCACTCGTATCTTGACATGTGTGGGACGAGCAGCGCGATCGGGGGGTGGAGACGAAAGGTCTCCTTGATGATCGCGTGCAGGTAGTGGAGCTTGGGGAAATCCGATTCGTTTACCATGCGATCTTTCCCTACCACCGCGTCGAGCTCGTCTTGGGCCTTCTTCAATGCAAGTGGGTTTCGAAGTAGCTCCGCCAGGATCCACTCCACTGTTGTGATGGATGTGTCGGTTCCCCCTGGCAGCAAATCCTGATACACAATTGTCAAGAGCTGTTCTTGAAAAACAAATACTCACTGAAAGCACAGCTTTGATGTTGTCCAAGTCGATTCGAGAGTCTCCATGGTTGAAATAGGAGAGAAGGATGTCTATGAAATCTCTAGGCTTGGCTAGAGCATCGTGACCAACCTTGTGTTCGTCGATGATCTCCTGGAGGAACCTGTCCTGGCGAGCATGAAGCCTCTTGAAACGAGGGATGTTCCAGTCGATCCACTTGAATGCACTGGGAATGTACTCGCTCACGTTGAAACTCCCGGCCACCTGCAAGATCTCCTCCACAATCCCCCGAAACTCCCGTGCCTTGCCCTGTGAGTCCGCGCCAGCCGGCCCGAAGAAGGCCCGGTCCATCAGGATTCGCGTCATGACATTGAAAGTAAAGTCGGTGAGGAAGCTCTTGATTTGCACCACCTCCTTGCTCGCCGATTTCGCCAGCAATCCAGATACCATGCCGGACAGCTCCTCCACTCTCACCCACGAGAAGGAGTCGATCCGCTTGGCCGTGAAGAGCTCGGTGGAGCACAGCTTCCTCATCATCTTCCAGTGATCGCCATAGGGGGCGAGGCCAATGTTGTGGAAGTTGTAAGCAGCGTACTCACCGACGAGGAGGTATGGCCTCGACGCAAATGCGAGGTCGTGGGTCTTGAGAACTTCCTTGGCCATGGCTGGACTGGACGCCACAATCACTGGTACTGTGCCAAATCGGAGGTGCATGAGTGGCCCGTGGGCTTGCGACAGCTTTTGCAAGGATCGGTGTGGCAGTGTGCTCAGGAGATGGAGATGGCCGATCAAAGGCAAGCCCCGCGGACCTGGTGGTAGTCGTACCTTGAAAGAGCGGTATTGCCTCCATAGCGCTCCAGCCAGGAGGATCAAGCCCAGGTAGAGGGCAAGATCGAAGTGTTCCATTCTAGCTAGAACTTGGAAGTATTGGATTCAATTTAGGACCTAGATTTATATAACAGAGATATGAATGGTGTTTGAACGATCTTTCATGAGCCTTTTGAAAGTGTTTGATTACGAAGGTCTTTATTCAAGATCAAAGGAAAACACAGCGACGCTTTCACGCTTTCACGGCAACTTTCAAGGCTTTCTTACACAGACTCTTTGACCAGCTAGAGATCTCTTTGTCAGCAAAGTTGCGAGTGAAGAAGACGTCATTGAGCAGCTTTTCCTTGTGAGTTTTCGCCAGCCGGATGTGTATGTCGACGCCCCTGCTCTGATCGATCGATTTCGGCTCTGGGGCTGGAGCTGGAAACAGCGCCACAAACGAAGGCGGCAGAGCAGTCGGAAGAAGGCAAAGCTGAGCCAATGCGCCACCCCGCCAGCCAAAATCAATGCCATAGACTGGAAACCTCCCCAGAGATGTGGAGAGCAAACCTCGCTTCCAGTGAAGTGATGCTGGCAGTGCCATGGGAGAGTTTAACTCGAGCCAGTCCACGGCACTCGCATGCGAAGGTGGTCGGAGCTAATGATCTTCTCGTGGATCAGCTTGGCAGCAAAGCTCTTGTCACTCGCGACTTGTCCCGCACTGGCAGCGTATGCCTGGCATGGAATGAGGGCATTGCCAAAGTAGTCTTCGGGGATCTGGGGCGCAAATCTACCTTTGCTTCGCAAGTTGATGGGCAGCATGTAGGAAGTATCAAGATGCTCGGGAATGGCTTTTGCTGCGGTTATAGACGACCAAAGCAATGCCGAGACAGTCTCAAAGGTGGTGGCTCTGCCTTAGCCGAACTTGGTGGAGCTTTCGATCTCTCGGGCGCAGGAATCGATGGCCTGTTTGCCCATCCGCAGCACCATCGACTCGTGTTCTTCCGCGCCTCCAAAGTCGAAGCCGAGTGCGTCTTGCTGTGCATGTTCTACGACGAAAGGCACCGGGGCATCCACGAGTGGAGAGCTGCGAGCTTTCAGCACCGCGGTTGTGAAGTCTTGGCGATTTCTTGGGTTGACTGGCGAGACCCCACGGTGGATCTCACTCCATCGCGTGAGAAATTTGACGAGGCTGTACCCGTCCATGACCATGTGTAGAAAGTGGAAGCCAATGGCCACTCCTCCACAGCGAAACGTTGTCACCTGGACTTGCATCAATGGCATCTGGGAGAGATCAGCATGATCACCAGAAAGCGAGAAATCGACCGAAATTGGGCACTGCCTGAGGTCCGACCACTCGTCGAGGCTCGCATCGCTCCTGGATTCAATGACGTTCACACCTTGGGAGTTGACATTCACCTTAAGCTTGAAAGGTGCCTCGCCGTGGCAAATCCGGCCAGCGAGCACAGGGAACTCGGCCAGTGCTTTGGACAGGGACGACTTGAGGCCTTGGTGGAGCTCTCGCTCGCCATGATGCGGAGAGACGCAGTCGCGGAAGAAGAACACAAGCTCATGGTACTCCGGCCTGGGGATCCAATTGATGAGGTCGAGATTGGTGAGCTCATAGTTCCAGCCAGGGGACGATGGGATTGCTGGAGTTACCAAGTGAACCTGGGACTTGATAGGCTTATCCATCACTTGGGTACCTTCCACAGCAGTGCAAATCAGGCTGTCAGAATTTCTTATCTATCTATGTGTTGTTTTGGTAGTTTCGTGGTGCCCGTCGTGAACCATGACACCAAATTGTGATGCATGCATGAGATCGCGACAGAATTAGCTGGATATTCAAAAGTGGTCTGCAATTTTTTACGCTCCGATTATCAGAGTCGTTCACGACTCCCAGGGATGTGCAAGTCAGTCAAACATGCCGGCCTAACCACATCGTTGCGCATTTGGATTGTTGACGAGAAAGTTTAATAGACTGGAAAGGGTGGCGAGCCTTCGCGGTCGTGTTCGTCATCGTTGCTCAAAATAAGTCCAAGTCCACATCAGATCTTTGCTTAAAACAAAGGGATGCCCTGATTCTACAATCACTAATATGATTTCATTCAGAGCATATGGAAGCAACTTCAGTGTTCATGATGTGCCATATGCAGGCTCTTCTGATTATGCTCGGATCAGTTGTAGATTGCAGAGCAGGGAATATAAGTTTTCATCCTGCCAATTGCAACGTTGTAAGGCTTTACCAAGCGTCACGAAGGAGAGTGCTCCTTGTCATGAATCTCTGAGGAGGTATTTCCCCTCGTGTTCCACTCTGATTACAATGCTTTTGACAGGAAACAGTTCCAGCATCCACCACCGACAGTAAAGCATATATGATAGAGGAAATGAGAAAATTGCTTGCATCCTTGGACGATGGAGAAATCAGTCCCTCTGCTTATGACACAGCTTGGGTTGGTCGGATCCCCTCGCAGTCAAACTCTACTTGCCCAGAATTCCCCGAAACACTGGAGTGGATTGCTCATAACCAGCTTCCTGATGGATCTTGGGGGGATAGGAACCACTTCCAAATTTATGATCGGGTATTGAGCACAGTCTCATGCTTAGTTGCGTTGAAAACGTGGAACCTGGGACATGACAACATCAATAAAGGTAGTTTCCATGGTATAAATCAAGGTTATCTCCTAACATTTTGTGATCAGGTGAAAGATTCCTCAAGCAAAACATATACAAACTTACAAAAGATAAAGGAGATTTACTTTGTGGTTTTGAGCTCATTTTTATGACGATGCTAGAGGAAGCCAAACAGAAGGGCCTAGACATTCCAATTGATATTCCAGCTCTAAAAATTCTTCAAGGATATCGTCAAAAGAAGTTGCAAAAGTAATTAAGCTCAAATTTGCTAACATAGTCAGTTGAATGCACTAATTTTTCTTTACATATCCAGGATTCCATTAGAGATGGTTCATTCTATTCCAACAACAATTCTATATTCTTTAGAAGGATTGCAAGATCACATCAACTGGGAAAAGATTTTACAGTTCATAGGCACTGATGGATCGTTTCTAAGTTCCCCTTCCGCCACAGCTTGTGTATATATGCACACAAAGGACGCCAGATGCTTGGAGTATCTCAAAGGAGTGGTTAAAAAAGTGAAAAACTCAGGTAAATTTATGTTGTTTGAGTTGATACTGTCAATATTCTAAAAACTATAACTTTAGTGCCATGTCAATATGCTATCGATTTATTTGAGCGTTTATGGATTGTTGATACCTTGGAAAGGCTAGGAATTGATCGATATTTTCAACCTGAAATTAAAAACATATTAGATTATGTGTATAAGTAAGTATGAATAGTCAATAACAATTGTCCACTAACAATTTTATGATAGATATTGGAGTGATAAAAAAGGAATTGGATGGGGGAGAGACAGCTATCTCAAAGATATTGACGACACATCAATGGGCTTTCGTCTGCTCAGGTTGCATGGATATAAGGTGACACCAGGTAAGGTTCTTTTATTCTGTTTATTCATGCATATACATATGGAAAAAAATGCGTTTATGTAGATGTATTTCTAAATTTTATGTCAAGCGAAGACAAATTCTTCTGTTTCCCTGGCGAATCATATCATGGTGCTTCTGATATATTCAATCTATACAGAGCATCCCAAGTCGCTTTTGCAAACGACAATATCTTGACAAAAGCTAAGAACTATGCTCATAAATATTTATCACAACTTGATAAAGCTTACTTAGACAAATGGTCAGCCAAGAAAAACTTTTTCCAAGAGGTACACATCTAATTAACACATTGATATAGTTCATTTTCAATCTCAATTCAGGTAGAGTTTGAGTTATCGAACCAGTGGAATTCATGTCTTCCAAGGGCGTATTCTAAATCTTATATTCACAATTACGGCCCGAACGATATATGGATAGCCAAAACAATTTACAGGTGATTTTCTTTATTTGCTTTTGAAATTCCTTAAGGAATCAACTACAGGCTGCCTTTTGTAAACAATGAGCTCTTTATAAATCTGGCAAAAGAGGACTTCAACGCATGCCAGTCAATTCACCAATCAGAAATCCAGACGCTCTTGAGGTACAATATAAAGCTCAAAATCACACCTTGATTAAGTTGTGTTTGTGTAAAGGTGGTGGGCCGCGCTCAAGTTTGGAGATCTTCCATTTTTTGGTGACAAGGTCGTGACAGCCCACTTTAGCATTGCGTCTTGCATGTTTGAGCCAGAGTTCTCGGAGTTGCGGCTCTTCTACACAAAGTACGCTCTCCTCAGCTCGACGCTCGACGATTTAGCCGATTACTATGGCAGCCCTGCACAGACCAGATGTATTCTTGAGGCTATCAGGAGGTGAGCAAAGCTTTGAAAAGCGAGAACTTCTCATCAAACAGTGTCTACAGCTGGGATCCATCTCTCGTGAGCCACTTATCCGAGGAAGTTCAAATTTGCTTCAGTGGCTTGTACCGGACTATCAACGAAATGGTTAAAAGCGCTTCGAAGGTTCAAACTGGTTCATCCATTGATATAAGGGAACACATGCAAGAACAAGTAATGTGCAAATGCAATGTAGCATGATCTGATTTTCTGAATCGTTGATGCAGTTGGCAAAGCTCATCAGTGCTCAACTAGTTGATGCGGAATGGATGGAAAGAAAACACATCCCGAGCTTTGAAACATACTTGAGCAATGCCACCGTCAGTGTTGGGATGCAAGACTTGCTCCTGAGCTCCATCTTCTTCTGCGGCGAATCCATCTCAAAACATCTGATGCAAGAGATCAAGAACTCACGCTGCCTGCAACTGACGTGCTTGATCGCAAGGCTGTGCAATGACATTGGAACATATCAGGTGAAATCTTTGATCGCTTGATCAACTCACAACTGATGGTTTCTTTCCAGTTTGAACGAGAGAAAGGCGAAGTTGCCTCAAGCATTACATGCTACATGCGAGAAAACCCGGGCATCACTGAATCCCAGGCCATAGAACACTTGCAAGGAATCATAGATGAAAGCTGGAAGGAGCTAACTGAGGAGTTTTTGACACCCAGCCAGATTCCTCGAAGCATCAAGAGGCTCATGTTTGAAACAGCGCGGATATTCCAGTTCATCTATCCCAAGAAGGACAACTTCAAAGATCCCAGCAAAGCCATGGCGTCTCTCATACAAAATGTGTTGTATAAAGCAGCTGAATGAAGGCATGCAAAGATTTAACATCAATAGTTGGCAAAAAAGAATAAAAAATACCTTGAAAATCAGAAGTCAGTGTGACTATTTTCATTCACCACGAAAGTCTTGGAGTCTAGAAATTGTTTCATGTAATTTAGAGTCCACTCTCGGGGCGCCCCATACTCTTCTACAAGATGGGAGACGAATGTTTGCACCTCCTTCTCCTAGAACAAGCAGTGTCTCCACTGTAAGTAAGGTCACCAGAAGATCACATACCTGTTTGTCATAGCCTTGTGAGATATCAATGTACTGTGATCTAGCAGCTCTAACTTTCTCCTTTATGAAGAGCTCTTGCTCCGGCGTGAGGCCCGAATCTGATGCTCGAAGCTCCGCGACAACCTGAGAGTGTGAAAGATTTGAAGCACAGGTGAAAGTTTTTTTTTCTTGCTCACCTTTTTAAGCTGCTCCAATTCTTGGAGAGCACCGTCTCGTTCTTCGGTGAGACGCAAAGCGACGGCTTCCAGAGACTGCTTCTCTGCCTCGGATCGTTCGCTTTGGGATGCCATTTCTTTCAACCTCGCAACCTGGAGCGCGGAGAATCAGCAAACATCAAGTGGAAAGAAGACTAAACCGATAAACCTCCTGTAAAGCCGAGTCCCTCTCGGTTGCCAGCTGACATGCTAGCACCTCCAGTGCCTCGTTTTGTTGCCTGAATTGTTGGACTTCTTGAGCTAGAGCTTTCTCCACGGAAGAGATTCTCCCCTGCATGGCCTCGACAGCTTTTCTGAGCCCCGACACCTACACTACGAGCACATCATCTCATCCACGGAAAAGAAAGAAATGGCAACTGTGATCTACCTCGGAGATTGCAGAGTCCCTCTCCTTGACAAGCTCCATTGCGACCGCTTCAAGAGCCTCCTTCTCAGAAACCAAGCGGGCGAAATCACTAGCGGCTTGCTTCATTTCTTCCACCTGATGAAAAACTGTCGTTGAGACAACAATCGAAAAGGAACGAGTGAGAACATACTTTGTTCACTGCTGCGTCGCGTTCCTTGGCAAGTTTTTCCAGCGCTTGCACGACAGCCTCGTCCATATCCTGTAAGTTTTTTGCAAGCATTAAATCTACATCGAAGAAGAAGAAGAATCAATTACGCGAGGAAGAACTACCGTCGTCCGTTGGACGCGTGAATTCTCGCTACTGTCGACCAACTCACTGATGGCCTTGAACGGAGAAGTCGCAACGAGCACATTGTTCTTCCCTTTCAAAGCTCGACTACACACGAACAAAACTCCGTCAAGCTTTCAAGAAAGAAGAAACACAAGAGAATACCGAGAAAGAAATCTATCTGATCGCTTACCCAGCGATGAGGATCGAGTAGCCCACGCCCACTGCCTGGAGCGCCTCGGGAACCAGCGGCAAGACCTCCAGCGAGCTCAGCACACTGCCTCCAATCGCAAGCCCGACACCGGCAATCCCGCCATACAATGCGAGCTCTCCAGCGCTCTTGTCCTTGAGTCCTTTGCGAAATTCCTCCAAAATCCTCGTTCTGCTGGCTCCAATCTCGCCTTCTACCTCGAGCTTACGCACCTCTTCCTTCTTCTTGCTCGCCGGCTCGTCTTGCAAAGAGAGCTTGAGCTCCGCCGGGCCAAGATCCAAGGGCTTGTAATCCGGAGAAGAAGAAGCCGCCGATGACACCGTTGCTCGATCCGGCGCTTTGAATCCATCATCGCCAGTGGCAGCGCACCGCGCATCGGGCTTGCGGAAGAGAGACGATGGGAAGATCAAGGCGGGGTAGCGCTGAGCCACAGAGGCCATCGCCTCTCTCGCTTCTTTCTCCGCCAAGAGAATGTATATCTTGAAAAATATTTTATCTGGAAGGCCAAGAACCCTAAATTCCCGGATGTGGAAGAGGAGTTAATGCGATTTGGGCGCCATCGCAATCGCCATCGCCATTGCTACCGCGATCGATTCTTCAGCACAGAGTTCCAAGTCCAGGAAGATCCGGCATTCTTTGCGCAGCTTGTGCGGGGATTTGGCGATTCTAGGGATCTAAGCGCCGGACGAGGGGCTCACGCTCGGATTTCTAGCAGCCAGCACCATGGCAACGTCTTCTTACTCAATCTCCTGGTGGAGATGTATGGCAAATGCGGCAGCATCGACGACGCGCGCCAGGTTTTCGACTCCATCCGGCATCCCAACGCGTATTCCTGGAATATCATGCTCACGGCGTGCGGTAGAAGCGGGGATTTGCCGGCGGCCAAGCGCGTCTTTGATGCCAATCCAGAGTGTGGGATCATCACCTGGACGACCATGGTCGCAATGTATGCCAAGGAGGGGTATCTGGAGGAGTCGCGAGGGTTCTTCGAGAGGATGCCGAGCTGGAGCGTGAAATCTCTCAATGCGATCGCGCAGGCGTATTTGCAAGAGAGCGATCACGAACACGCGATCGCTCTTCTGGAGAGGATGCCGGAGAAGGATCAAATCTCCTGGAACGTTCTAGTCCAGGCAAATGCCCAGCTTGGGCATATGGATCGATCACAGTGGCTTTTCGATAGAATGCCGTTTTGGGATTTGGCGTCGTGGACGTCTATGATCACTGCGTACTGCACTGCTGGGGATTATCACACTGCGAGGCTGTTTTTCGATAAGATGCCAGTGAAAGACGTGGTTTCTTTGACGACCATGGTAGCAGCGTATGCCCACAATGGGCATATGGTTTTAGCGAGAAGGCTGTTTGATGGGATTTCTCACAAGGATGCTGTGGCGTGGACGACCATGCTTGTAGCGTATGGAGAAAATGGCGATGTCGGAAAAGCTTTGAGCCTCTTTCAAGCGATGCCGAGGAGGGATATAACATCATGGAACGCGATATCGGCAGCTTATGCCCAAGCTGGGCATCGAGAGGATTCTATCGGGGTCTTTGAAACGATGCCTTGCCGGGATTTGGTGTCTTGGAACACAGCAATTCTGGCTTGCGTGGAGTGTCAGTCTGCGGAGGAAGCCAAGAGATTTTTTGATCAGATGCCTCGGAAGAATATCATTTCTTGGACGCTGCTGGCAGCGGGATATGCACAAGCCCGGTATACCAGCGATGCCAAGCTCGCGTTTTGGAGGATGCCGGTTATCACACTCACGTCTTGGAACTCCATGATCTCTGCGTTTGGTCGGAGCAGGGAGGAGCGAGAGGCAAGGCTGCTGTTTGATGCAATGCCTTTCCAAGACACAATCTCGTGGAACGCTATGATCGGAGTGTACGCTGAGAGCGGTCACCTGGAGGAGGCTCGGAGATGTTTTGATCGAATGCCGCGACGAGCACAGGTCTCCTGGAACTCCATGATCCAGGCGTATGCTCAGAGTGGTCACCTGGATCAAGCTCTTGCGCTCAAACTCGACATGATCAACGAGGGATTCCGGCTGGACGAGCGAACGTTCACGAGCATCCTGGCGGCTCACGGCCACGCGGGTCTCTTCTACGATGCTTTGGAGAACTTCCGGTCGATGCAGGAGGATCACGGCTTGCAACCGGTGGTGGAGCACTACCATTGTCTCGTCGACGTGCTCGGCCGCGTAGGGAGGCTGGGTGAGGCGGAGGAGCTCATCAAAACGATGCCTTTCCCGGCGGATGATGTCTCGTGGACGAGCTTGCTTGGGGGATGCAAAGCTCACAAGGACGGGACTCGTGGGAAGAGAGCTGCGAGAGAGATTTTGGAGCTGGATGGAGAGTGTTCCTCGGCTTATGTTCTACTGTCCAGCATCGCTGCCTCCCGAGATCTAAAGGCGCGCTAAACAATGCACAGGAGGAGAGTGATTAGTTGAGGAGGAGACGGCCAAAAGACTTACACAACTTGGAGATGCTTAGCTCTGCCAACTTTTCCTTTTGCACACTGTCACCTCTTGAAGTAGAGTTTCTTGTCATATAAACATAGAATGTCATGTACTTTTGATAAGCAAAGCTTCTTAACCTCTCACAAATCAAACAATCTCAAGTGTGAGATTCATTCAACAATTGTCCGTCAAGCTAGTACCTGGAGTGTTGCAAGGTCTAGCCAAAGGTGACGAGCAAGGTCCGGATTTCCATGGGAGCAATGTCAATGTGGCGATCGCCCGGCTTTAAAAGTGGACCGCGAACGTGAACAGCGGCAGCATCCTCTACGTTCGGATCAAGTTGCCATTGTAGAGGTTTCATGGAAGCTCTCTCTTGGTTAGCTGAAAGATTGAGCTCCACAACACTTGCAACCTGTGCAAATCCAGTGTTTTCACTATGCAAAGTAGATGAAAACACAAAACCTGTCTCAGGCCAAAAATCTTCTGCAAATCGACTCGCACAACCGTGGACAGCTCGATATCCTCCCCAGCCTGCAAAAAAGTTAGAAGGGAGAACTATAAAAACTTCAAACTAATGTTCTACCTCGTACAAATGAGCCAGTCTCAGTAGGACATCCCCGTTTTGCATTTCCTGGATGTATAGAAACGCGATAAAGTATAGAAGCGCGTTAGCTTCGAGCGAAATTACCTGCAGCGTGATGATAGCTATGTTCTGTGGTAGTTCGTAGCCAGACTCTGTTGCAGAGAATGTTGGATTTCCTATCTTGCCAGTGCTCGAAGACAGCTTCGAGAAAAACATTTCCAGAGGCGAATAAAGCCGCTGGCCTTGATTTCGTCGCCATCTCGCAGACTCCTGTGTCGAGTGTAAACCAAGAAGAAACTTGCCACGAACCTGAATGACAATGCAAAGATAATAGTAATGACTACTAAAGTTTGAGAAGATACAGTACCGTCAGGCCTTCACATTCGTTGCTGTCTATGCATATTGTTTCGTTTAAAGCTTCTTGAACACCTCTGTGGTCGTCGTGTAACAAGCGCCTGAAGAAAGCACAAGGCTTCAAACTATATCGATCGACATCTATATGCATACCTTTGCACCATTAGCTCGACGTCACCATCTTTTAGACTAGAGCCGCCAATTGCTCGATCCACAAGCACGGAGAACTCCGTATTGTTTTCTTGCAAGTAAATGCCCAGGTTGATCTACATAAGAGGAAATGGTTTTCACAAAGAGACCGTCACTGATCACCTCACCGGATAGTAGTTTCCCGATATTGGTTCAGTGGCATTGAGCTCCCAGTCACTTCTAAAATCTCTTACCTACAGACCGCGTTAAAGCCAGGACCTTTAACATGGGAATCCTTACCCGCTTAAGAAAGTCTCGACCGTTCGAATCCGTGTAAAAAATCTTTTCGCTTTCCAAGTCCGTGCTTATTCTGGTAACTATTTCTTTGCCAGCATCACTGGAGTTTACTGGAACTGGTCCGATCTGAAACACATCGAACACAACCAGTACATTGTGTTTTTCCAGAAAACGTTATCAAAGCGAAGGCTCACTGTGTATTCGATTTCAGCATATTGCGCGTCTTTGTAAAGCCTCAGCACCTGAAAAACCAATTGATATATATCTCTTGTGACGAAGATAATCAAGTCCTTACCTGGAATACCCAGGAAGAGAACGTTTGATGTACTTCTTCAACCAAGGAACCTTTTATATAGCTCGAAACCTATGGATATTGTGTAAGCATACCGAACATATGTTTTCGCACATACCATCTCTTTGCTATCGACGGGGTAGCAGGACGAAGAGTTGGGACGAAACACGTAAGCTCCCGAAGACTACTATCAAGGAATTGATAACCTTTGTATGCAATTTTTAATTACCTGGCCTCGGGCTTCTTCTGTGACACCATCACTTGAATTATACCAGCAATATGACAGCTTGACAGCGGATACAATCTGATATAAGAAATCCAAGAATGTAAATTTCTTCCAAGCTAGAATCTCACACTTACTCCAGATTTACGATCCGTAAACTGTTGAAGCTGTCCACTGGACGAGAACTTAAGCTTGGTTTTAGATGAGAATACTTCCCTTGGGCTTTCATGATTTTTGAAAGAAGAGAGCGATGCACAACCTACATAAACAGACTTGCAACGTGTTGTCCAACCAAAGGAAATAAGCTTACCATGTGCACCGTTTGACGCGCTGATGAAGTAGGAATTAAATCCTAATGGCGGAACAGAAGCTTTGAACACAAGAGTGTAAACGTCGTCATTGCTGGAAGAGTTGCCCGTATACGCCTTCACATAAATCTCCTTCAGTTTTTTTGTCACGCTGTCTAAAGGAATTAGCTGCGACGGAATTGCATTCCCAGTCGAATCTCTGACTTGCAAACGTGTACTTGAAACCTGTAAAGGAAAACCTTGGTTTTCAGAGCTGAAGCCAAGGCATGTCCTGCAACATACCGGAATTCGCACCATCTCTTTACGACTCCAGCCAAGCGTATTGTACAAAACTACTACCTGCGAGAAATGCTAAGAATTCAGCCAACTGGCCAGGGTAACCACTTACCAGAGAAGTGCCATCCTCTAGTTGGGCTTCAGAAGGTGGGCAATAGCTAATATTCAAAAGCAGGCACTAGAGAGGTAGCGAAGACAATATCAGAAAGATACTAAAATCCTGTAAAGTGCATACCTGATCAAAGCTCAGAGCAGATCTGCCACTGATTCCTTTCGGTAAAACGGACAAGTATTTGGAGGACGTTAATCTTTCCCAGATTGGAACAAACCAATTGGTCGCAGTATTAAGCGCGGAGCTGGAGGCCGTTAGGACGGATATGGCTACCTCCATCACCTTCGCAGCCTGTAAACATATTTTTCAGAGTCATTTCTTTGTAATATATGACAAGATCAAAACCTTGGAAGCCCCAGTAGCGAGTCTCTTCGCATAGTCATTTGCAACATGTTGTTGCTCGGTCCCAGTTACAGCATCGTGATGTTGGAGGATTGCGAGCGCATCCTCCAGAGAATCGGTGTTGTCTGCAGAAAAATTTCTGCCCACCGCAAACTCTAGCTGACGTGCGGCCTAAAAGAAGAAAGAAACGATGAGATGATTATGGTGAATATGTTACCATAAGGTACGCAGACAACCTCCTAACGTAGCCTTTCAGAGCGAGGCGGCTTGAGAAATAACCAGTCCAGTAGCAATGGGAGCAATTCGCGTAGCTTAAAAAAATTCAACGTCGTCATCTAACGGATTCCAAGCATAGCAGACTTACGGGAAAAAGTCCTCGGTTTTCAAAGGCCAGGTGATGTTGGCAGTATTTTTCGAATCTACGTAGATAGATGGAGTAGAGTAAAACACATTAATTCTTCCATCCTGCAGCTATACTGTTAAAATAAAAAAAATAAAAGGCGAGAGTATATACACCTTGTTCATATAGTGCACTAGCTTGTCTAGCTGCTTGAACCAAGTATTTGCTTGCTCATAATTAAAGTCTTGACCCATAGTCCACATTATATGATTTGATCGGAACTGCTCACTCTGAAAGTATATACAAGTGTCCTTGATAAACGAAAAAAGAACTCAAATAATTGCCTGTTCTTGAGCACGCTTGACAAACAAGTCAATTCGCTCCTGAAGATTGTAGTCGTATAGAAGAGGATTGTCCTGAGCATACAGGTCATTCTCTGCCTTAAAAACCAGCCAGCTGAACTTACTTGTATCAAAGGATCATTGGACTTAAAGTCGAAATTCATCCCTTCTGGAGGAGAGTAGTGATTTGCGAGGATACCTCCAAAGATCTGCAATAGAAACTTATAAAACACTGGAGCGGTGTAGGGTTTATACTTGTGAAGACGACGATAATGTTCTGGATCCCTGCCATACAAACTCCATGCCGCGCGTTGCTCGTCGTTTAGCAATGTCTTGGTAATCAGCCCGTGCAAAAAACAAACCATCAAAGCCGACCTGCCAGAAACAAACGGAGAGACGCTTATTTTTCTGCTAGAAGCCGACAGTTGCATCACCTCTGCTCCGAGAAGATAAGCTTGCACAGCTGAATGGCCAAACGGGTCGATCTGCCATCCAATGCGAGGCATTTTGTTAAACTGGGATTTGATAAACCGATGGCCAAGCGTAGTTTGATCGATCATGTCGATGTAGCTAGCACCAGCTTCGTCATGCATACACCACGCCCCGTTACTGTAGCAACAATTATAAGAAAGCTTCGAACTAAAAGAGAAGGAAAAAAAAAGGAGAGAAAAAAAAAACCTAGCTTACACGAACTCGAGTTGACCGGACTCAACCATTTGATGCACGATTTTTTGCTTCGCAGGAGTTTGCTCCCTCCACCATCGCTGGAAAAAAGCCTGGGAAACGAAAGCGATTCAATGGAAAAAAATCAAACACAAAGAAAGAACTGTGCGTAGCTTCGTGAGTGACTTGCCTGTTCAACATAGATAAACTTGCGATCTGGATTGTCCTCCAGGGACTGGATGACAGAGTCGATAATATACTGGACAGCGGCAATCTACAGGAAAAAAGGAGCTTTACAAAGGAAAAATGCCAGAAATTTGGCCAGCTAGAGTACCTGGATGGAATTGTTGGAGCCAACATAGTACTGATCCACAGTCTTGAGCCATCCCACATCATCGTGCGTGTGCGGCACAATGTGGACATTGATCTTGTGGGGAAGCGGCGCCCCGGAGGTGTTGTAGATCCCAGGCGCAAGGGGAAGAAGAGGCGGCGATCGCCCCAAGAATCGATCCAATCTAGCTGCATCGCGGAGCAAGGTGAGCACGAAGAGGAGGAGGAGCGCAGCGGCACAGCGCCTGGCTGCCCTAGCCCCAATCGCCATCAAATATCACGCGCACGCCAAGTCATCCATAGCTACATTAGAGTTTAGGGTTTAAGATAGTTTTAACGAAAGTTCCCATCTTTCTCCCCTTGTTTCAAAAGAACATCCGGAACACTATAGCCTGTTAACTACAAAGCAGTCCCAAGTTCGATTCCGCGCTCCAAATTGCCTTGGCAATTAAAAGGAGTGAGGGTCCCTCTGGGCCGACTCTACAAGAGTATCTGATCACTTGGAAAATATAATCATACTTTGGTTAAGCCTTAACCCCTGAAGAAGAATGGATATGCCGGGTATCGATCCCAGTGCCTCTCGCATGCTAAGCGAGCGCTCTACCATCTGAGCTACATCCCCTTTTCCAAGGGTAAGAAAAGCAAGAAGCTCACGACAATTCATTTGACGAAGCATCCAATGAAATATAACTTCGATTGTAGTGTTTCATGGAATTTGATAGATGAAGCAAGCTACCAGGTAGAAACTTCACCCAATGCCGAGAGTTTTAGAGGCGGCAACCATCGTCCTCTTCCTCTTTTTCCTGGCAGTAGTTTGGTTCCAGCAAGAGAAGATTAAGTTTTTCATCTCCAGGAACGAAAGAAGCAACCACAGTGCCGCGAGCGACGCAAGTTCTTCTCGAGCAAACTTCTATAATCTGCTGCCTGCACGAGAAGATCATGGTAAATGCAAGAGCCGGTTTGAGCAGCATCGTTACGGTAAGAGAGACTGGGAATACGTACCATCGGAGTATCTCATTGACAGGCTTCGTTCTTACGAGGAGTTCCATGCTCGCTGCACGAGAGGTAATTCCCAGACCTGGTTTAACTCGAGCACGGCCACGGAGAACAATGATTGCAAGTTCATCCTCTGGCTGGATAACAGCGGCCTCGGGAACAAGATGGTGTCGATCGCTGCGACTTTTCTCTACGCCTTGCTCACCCGTCGAGTTTTGTTGATCGATCCGGCCGAAGACATGGAGGCGCTCTTCTGCGAGCCGTTTCCTCGGAGTTCCTGGTTTGCTCCCCGGGATGTTCCTCTCGAGTTCCTCAGGAGTGACGAGTTTAGGATCAGCTTTGATAAGTGTCACCCTGGTACTGCGAAGTTTGCGCGGCACGCATACATCGAGATTATGAACGGTTACGACAGTATCGGTGACAAGTTCTTCTGCGAGAAACAACAGCAAAACATCAGTGATCAGTTTCCATGGCTGACGATCACCACAAACCTCTACTTCGTCCCAAGCTTGTACTATGTTCCAAGTTTTAGAACCGAGCTAGACAAGCTCTTTCCACGGCAAGAGGCGGCAGTGTTTCAACACTTGGTGAAGTATCTCTTCCATCCCTCAAACGCTGCCTGGGATAGAGCGACGAGATTTTACGATACTTACATGGCTGGCTCGAGCAAGCTTGTCGGTGTCCAAATGAGAGTGTTGCCCAATTTCCAGGATCTATCTCGTAGAGCGCAAAGTTTCTCGGATGCAATGGTCCAGTGTCTCCTCCAGAGCAAGCTGCTCCCTGATGTTTCAGTGGCATCGAACTCAAGCGCTTCTGGCAAGATCATAGGTGTTGTTGTGGCATCACTCGACGGGCAGTACTTCGATGGTCTTCGAGAAATTTACGTCAGCTCTCCCACCGTAGATGGTTCCTTGGTCCGAGTTTTCGCTCCAAGTAAGGAGCGATGGCAGCAGACTAATGACCGTAACCACGACGAGAAGGCCCTGGCTGATATGCTTCTTCTCTCATTCTGTGCCGAGCTGGTCACGAGCCCCGGCTCCACGTTTGGATACGCCGCTCAAGGCCTGGGTGGAGTCAAGCCGTGGCTCTTGAATGAGAAAAACTGCTCCAAGTTGGACTCCACAGAGCCTTGCTTCCACGCGAAAGTGTTCTACGGCTGCAATTGTGATTCTTCAAGCGAGGCAAAGTCCGTCCAGAACAATGCTCGGAGTTGTCCAGACGTGCCGTGGGGACTTCAGACCTCGCCATTCCAGAAAACTGGTTCATAGGACCTGTGATGTTGCACAAAAATCAGGCAAGAAGGAATAATTTTGGAAGATGAGGTCACCATTTTGCTCGAGATTACACCGCAGAGAAGTTTCACAAAGAAGTTAAGAAGTATGTTCAAACTGAAATGTCCTAGAAAGAACTTGAAGTGAATAACGTACAACTTCAAATAACCTTAGGTCGGGTTATTCATGATATCTCTTTGGTGTGGCTGGTTTTTCTCGGAGAGGCTCCACTTTTCGCTGAAATCCAAGATATTTACAGTGAAGGGAAACAGGACAGTGAAATTAGTGTAGGTTTTCTTGAATGGCAGCGCTCCCTGAAATGTGTTTGGATCACCACTCATCGATATAAGGGACAATTAATTCATAAAATTTGTTATATATATAGATATATATTCCGCACATCATACTCCTCTTGCACATTGACCATATACCCGCCTGCGATCGGCTATATTCTTCTATCATTTTATTATTTTTCGGGTCGCTTGTGGAGATAAACGTAGTAACTTCTGGAGCCAAGTAATTGAAGGAAGCATCAAATAACGCGGAAATTGACTACGAGCACTATTCATCACCACTGCTGCTCATGGACGACGAGCTCCACCTCAGTCACGGCAATAAGTTTGATAGGATTTTCGGGTCTGCACAAGTGGCTTTCACTCATGAAGAGATCCTGCCAGCATTGCTCCATAAGGAAGCTGTGAAGGTCAAACACGTATGCATCCATGACTGGAAATTTGCAGGTCAAGCACCATGACAATCAGTATCCAAAACTGTTCAGCATTTTGGATTGCATTTCCAATTGCATACCAAATGGCAAAACTAGAGGTGGTAGACAAATGGCCATGGTGGCTGGGACACAGGTTGTAGAGATTACTGAGCTCGTGTTCCCAGGTGTTAGCTAGAAGACCTCCAAGTTTCTAGGGTGCTTCAAAGGAATCACATATAGCGTTTCCTTAACCCTTTTAAGGGTTTTTTCTTGGGCAAATATTCCTTGTATATTCTAAAAATAGAATATACTTGTATATACCTTATAAAATATATAATATTTTTAAAAAATTATAAATTATTATTATTGTTAATATTTTTATAATAAAAATAATATTTAAAAATATTTATAACAAAGTTACTTTTTGCCTTACACATGATAATAGAAGTATGATTTGATCAATTTGAATCTCTCACTTATCTAGCTATATGAAAGGCATGTTATAGATCAAGAGCATCAACCATTATATAACTGCCCCTTTACCTAGCTATAAATATCAATAGCTAATGTGTTGAGACTTTCACCCCTTTGAAAGATCTTGACCTTCTGACCATCTCTTAGAACACCTAGATAGCTAAGCTTTTGCCTCCCTAGCAATTCCACTCCCACTACCTAAATTGGTAATCTATTGTTATGCACTAAGTAGAAATGCTCACCCCTAACTCAATCACAATGTCATGGATTGTAAAGGAGGAAGAACTTACAACCTCTTGCTCACCAATTTATGAGACCATTTTGGTTTAAATCTTAGTCCCTCAAATTATTCAATCTCAATTTTCTAGTTTGAAAAGTGCTAATTTAGTCCTAAATGCTAAAAAAATGATGTGGGGTAGCTGTTTTTAGCTAAAAACAACATCTAAGACTGAATAGTCTTGTCTTATGGTAGTTTTTTTTATAATTAAACACCTTCTAAAAAGCATTTGCTGTGAATATGTGACATTGTCCACTTTATTATTGAGGCCCTTTGACAAAAAATGGATAGCAACTTAATCCATTAGTTAATATAAGTTATTTTCAGCAATTCAATCAAGAATTTATAAGTAATTAAAGGGAATGACTTAAGAGACAATCCATAAAAGTTTAAATATAAAAGGAAAAAACCCATAAATAAGAGTGCACCCCCTTTTCCAATTAATTAAAAGTTTTATTCTTACAATTAAATAGTATTGGGCAAGATGTGGGAAATTTAAATTCAAGAGTTTATATTTGGTATAAAAGGGGTTTCAAATTTGACTCTATTTATCATATTAAAATTGACATGTAGCAAATTCAATTTACTTTTAATTAAGCTCAATCCGAGTGATAAGGTGTCAAAAAAGAAGGGCTCTCAAGAGAGTTGTAGCTCTCAACTTCCATTCATAAAGGCGTAAACTTACATGATAGATCGTAACTAACTAAAGAGAATGAGTCGAGAGAGATAATCTATAGGTCAAATATATAAAGTTTCTCACACATGTCATTAATAATAGGGAGATTCAGCTCCAGCCCAACCAAAAATCACTTCTTTACACTCATTTTTAATTAACTTTTGCTGGGCGATTTATATTTAGATACCCAATCTTGGACATACTAGCAACTAGGTCAACTCTTTTAGTGATATCCCATACTTACTATAGGTGTGGTGTGTATTACATTTCAAGGGTGAGTATTGTTTCTATAGATGTGTTCACCTCAAGGTTTACACACTTCAATCTTAGTTTACATAACATGACTGACATTGTTTAAGAGCTTGGAGTAGCTGTTCCAGCTCTTGTCTAGGTCCCAACTCCAATACTTGGTAGAAAGGTCCAATTTGGTGCCATTGAGTGAGCAGCCAAAGGTGGTTGCATTTTTTTCTGGTAACATCAAATGCTTGTTGGAGTTGTTGGAGCTCACCAGATGGGAATCAGTGCTATACTTGTTAGCACCATACTGCAACTCAAGTTTTAAGCTAAGAAGGCCACATGCCAAGTTCCAAAAAACATTAGCTAAGGGATGTAAGATTTTCCAATTGCATTTCACAATCTCAAAGTCCACGATGTTACATGCTCGAGAAGTAATGATCTTGCAGATATATGTAATTGTGAGGCTCCTCAGTGACACTAAACTTGTGAGCACTGTTTGAGCAAACTCCTTCTAGTTTCCTTTGAAGCACCCTAGAAACTCAAGCTCTTCTAGCTTGCATCTGGTATATTTCAATGTCTCAATTAACAAGCATATATTGTCTAATGTTCCCTCATTCCAAGGAGTGGTACATTCCATAACCATGAGCTCAGTAAATTCTATAACCTATGTTTCAACATGGCCATTTGTCTACCATTTCAAGTTTCAAAGTTTCCAAGCCATCTAGTATGCAATTGGAGATGCAATCCAAAAATGCTGCAAAGTTTCAAATATTGATTGTCATGAAGTTGAGATGCTTGATGCACAAATTGGCAAAGTGATGGATGCATACATACCCTTGAAGTTCAGCCTTCATAGCTTCCTTATCTACAAGGAAGCTGGAGCAATGGAGCAATGCAAACAAGATCTCTTCACGAGGGAAAGCCAGTTGCGTAGATCTGAAAATACCATTGAACTTATTGTTGTGATTGAGGCAGCGGTTGACAAACGTTTCCTTCTCCCATATAAAAACCTAGAACTTTTCAAAAACTCCCAGGTAGATCAAACCATGAAGGATCTACGGCCCAAAAAAAAATTATGTATAAGGATTTAACATTGGTTATTTGATTTTATCCTGGGTATTTTAATAAGAAAAGGATTTTTTTGTTACACCATATTAATTAATTAAATATAAGTACATTTAATTTAGTGTTAAACATGCTAGTAGAATATACTATATACCACATATCAGTGGAGTAAGTAGGTCATTTTCGGGAGCAAAAGCCAACTCAGTGAGATGTTGCATACTACTTAACTTAACATAGTAGAATGCTAAAACTACCTCCAAGTAAAAAGAAGCATCTCTTAACTACTGATCTTACTTCTAGGAGGCAATCAGCTTTAAGATTTTGGAAGGTTGCTGCACAAATGTAGCGCACATGGTTTTGACCCTTTATCCTATGGTGATTTACCATAGGATAACACCACAAAGTGGTACCTAAACCCTCTTTGTGCCACATGATAGATGCCACGTGTCCATGCCACGTGTCCATAGGAACCCGAGGTTCAGGGCCTTGGGCCACTGAATGAAGGAACGGTGCCAAACTCCCAAGCGTGGAGCCAAGGAGTGTGTAAGCCACAAATTTTTCCTTTCCAATTTGTTAGTTTACCTCGTCTATCCGTCCGACACTGCCTTGGCTTTTGCTAAGTTCCCTCGCCAAGGTTCTCGCCTATGGTACCAACTCCTACTTGGTCCTACTTGCTTTCAGCTACTCACTGCACGAGCAACGGAGCGTTAACCATCCATCCACGGATTCCCAATCTCTCCCAATCCCCCTCCCCGGGTTAGACTGGACTTAAGGTTCGGCTACACTCCCCGCAAGCACAAGCAGCCAAGCACACCAAGCTTCCAGGTTCCTAACATCCCTTGGTACCACAAGACTTGATCATGGGACCCTCTAAATCCTAAGTCTTGAGTGCAACACTTGCTTCGGGATGCCGGGGCGAAACACCGTGGCCTAGTGGCCCGGTATGGGTACCTCTACCCCCCCACTTCCATCCCGAAGGAAGGCCCAAGCCCCTAGGAAGGGCGAGGACCAATGAGCCACATGGTACTCAAGTGGGGCACCACTCCACATGAGCCGGGAGCACCGCAATCGGTTTCCCTTTCGGGAGTGGGAGTTGCTCTTGAGCACTTCCTTGGATAGCCCTCCGGCACCAACCAAGTCCATGCTCACTCCCACCTAAGGCCCCTCGGTCTCAGTCCCAACCTCAAGTCGGTTTGGGAGCCCCACTGGAGAGTCCCTTCAAAATTGGTTCCTAGACCTCACTATCCCTACTATACATTTGGAATCCCCCACAGCCCCCCCCCCCCATTGAGGAACACACGCTTTGGGCTTTCACCCTAAGCCTCCCTTAGTATCAGGAGTTAGTCTCTGGGACAAGCTTGAAACTTACTAAATATGGAATGTCCTTAGATTACGAATTTGGACACGGGACAAACACCATCGTGTTCAGGCCAATCTCTACATTCCGTAAATATGCCAAATGAGCAAATCTGAACACTTTCCATAAATAGCATTTGGGACCGAATTGAGATTAACGCTAAGGGCATGATAGCGAGGGTGTTTGGCAGACACGGTAAGCTATCATCTAGTGATATTGAGGGACCAAGCTCAATATCGCGGGGGTTCCTAACACTAGCAAGTGCAAGCCAACATCATGAATTTCTCATCACCGTGTCAAGTCTGCTTGACTAAATGACAATTTAGGATTTCCTTCCTTAGTGCCCTTCCGGTTTAAGTGCACATGTGATGACTAGTTTTTCAACTAGCTTAGGCGGAGACTAATAACGGGTCCAGCAATATCGACCTCCTGCCATCGTGGCAGTAAGGTAAGAGTGTCTGTAAGGACTAGCCGACAGGTAACTTTCGATACTTGAAGTCATATTCGCAACAACAAATAAAAATTGAGGATGATATTAAGGAATTGGATGATGATATAGCATCAGGGCATTTTAAGAAGCATTGGAAGCAAAGCTATTGTTGGTTAGAATTTGATGCAACTGAAGGCATAATTTTTTGCAAGATTTGCAAGGCAAATCCACAGACTAAGAATATTTTTAGCAAATAGGGTCGTAGTAATTTTTGAAAAAGTGCCTTATGCAGTCATGCTAGCTCTAAAGATCACAAGGAGTCTATATTTGCTAAAGAGGTGCACCATAGGAAGTAGCAATCAATTTCAGAAGCTACAACTAAACATCTACACCATGCTGAACAAGAGGTGCTTATGTTATTTTGTTTTGTTTATTAT